TATTAATAAATAAAAATATAAATCCAAACAAATTTTGATAAAATGGAATGTACCCAAAAAATCTGTTTGTAATATTTCCTTTAAACAAATTTTTTTCCAATTTTAAACAAAAGATAAACATAATCGGTTGAAAAAAAAAGAAGTCAAATATACTGCTAAAATAAAAATCTATTTTCTCTAATCAAAAGGAACTTGAATTTATCCGATATGGAAGAAATCTCATCCAAAATATATTGAACTCATCCAAAACATACTGAATTTCAGAATGAAAAAATTTTAAATGTTCGAAAAAATTTCAAACAAAATTTTAGGAGGGAAAAAATGATTTGAGCGGTAAAATGAAATAATTTTTCAAACATTTTTTTTTCTCTCTATTATATAGTAATAGATATTGTCCAATTAATTAAAATAATCCAATCCATTTGCATTTTACTCTAAATAATTACACTTAGAATAATTGATCTCATCATTCATTTTAAATGTAAATTCATTTTGTAACCTAAATATCTAGTACGTTAGTTCATAAAATATTATAGATATAAAATATAATAAGAAATTACAATTGAACAATAATAAAGTTACTGTTTATAGACTAAAATAATATTTTATAATTAAATATTTGGCTAGCAAGTCCTAAAATTTATCTATAACGATTATCGAGAAGCCGACATGCTCTGTATCGTCGTTAATGGCGTCACAAGGGATCAGATGGCCATCAATAAATGTGGCTTTTTTGGCGGGAAACACATCCGCCCATCGCTATCCATCTGCAGCCGTGATGTGGCGGCGGGCCCGTCTTCCGTACGTCCCCACCGGCGGAGGGCCGCATCGAAAAAAATAAAAGTGAAGCAGCATTTGCACCTCTGTCCGAATTCGCCTCCATATGCTGTCGTTTGGCCGCGCGCGAAAAGGACAAAGGAGAATAAAAAATTGGGATCTGACGGCAAATGAGACATCACAAACAGCAAAAGCCCCAACCTTCCGCTTTCGACGGCCGTTAGTGGTAAATGACTGTTCGAAACGTAGTGTGGCCAATGGCCTATATTAATTAACCACTTTTTTTCCCCTATTTTTTTGAAATGCCTTTTGTTTTTCTTTTTAATTGTGGGTGGTAATATATTCGAGTAGCATAAGCCCATTTCAATCTCGTTATTCGGATTGCCTCGTTTAACAAATTAACAAAAAACTCGTCTCGAGCTCTGCTTAATTAACTTAAAATATGTTGAACCATTTCCTTAGAGATTTGTTGATTAACTTGCCCTTTAGAGATCATTTGTTGAACCATTTCATTAGATGTGGATTATGATTAATGCTTTTTAAAATATTCCTTGCATTGAGGTGACTATATTATTATGTTTGTCTTGAAGAACCTTCATACACCTGTGCTATTCATGAATTGTGAGTGTAAAAAGTCTAGCTGGACTCGGCATGATTTAGAGCAGGTGGATATGGATCTGTGTAATCTTAAATTTGCATGAATTGTGAAAAGATATAAAAACTTCTCTTTTGCTTCTTCTAATCTTCCTATATTCTCCTTGAAAAAGCGAAACTATTGCCCGAAAAGTCAAAAACAGGATCAACCGTGCTACCCCAATCCCGTTTGCCCTGGGAAAGAATGATTGAGCTCAAAGCAACCTCCTCTTGTTGGAATATTTCGAAGCATCGGTGAAAGAAGATGACAATATATTGATAATATATTTTTCTTCTTGCTGAGACTTTCTTGAGTGAAGGAAAATTCTTCACTTGGGTTTGAGGGCTTGTTTGTATTCTTTGGATTCTTGTCAATGCCATGATCGAATAGAATGCCGGCTTTCTTAGAAAGAAGCACAATTTTTTTTCTTAGGTAATTTATTGTCATCTGTGTTTTTATGATATTGATAAGAAGATGAGTATGAAGTTGGCATCAGGGGAACATTTTCCCACATAGCTTGCAATTCATGTGCTTTTGCTCACGATCCTCCATGGAAATCACGAGTTCATTTTTTTTTTTATTGGAAAGAATAATATAATTTTTTTTGGAAATGCAGATAAAAATCAGAATGATTTTGAAGCAAACATACAAAAGAAAAGAAGAAAAAATGGTAAGGTTATGATCACATGAGTATGGATAAGCTCAAGAAGCATAGTGACATATAAATTGTTTAAGATCAGGCAAATGGGGACTGTCAAGGATTTGATCAATTCTTTTGATTTTGAACCAAGATTTTGTGAGCAAGAAAAGTAATGCAGAGAAGAAAACTAAATGGTAGTAGTAGCTATAGGTTAGTTGAAAGTTGAAGACGAAAAATGGAAAACAGAACCAAAAAGATAAAAAAAATTAAAAAAAAAATGCGAAGTGAAATCAGTTACATAATCCGGACAGAAAAAAAAAAATAAATAAATAAAAAAAAATCAGTTACATACTGTGCAAATGATGAACATGACCAAACTAAACTAGTATTCGATCCTGTGCATTTGCGCACATATAAAACACGTTTTTGTTTGTATTTATTAATTAGACATGTATTTCTATCATATAAAAATTATTTATTTTTATTAAGTTATTTTTATCATTCAAAATTGATTGAGATTTAAGTTTTATTTTAATCATGCAACGTTTACATTAGTAACATGAGTAAAATAGTTTATATATTTGTGCCATATATTAAGAAAATTAACAGAAATAAAAAAAAATTATGGTGTTTCTGATTTTAAAAAAAATGTGTCAATCATATTTTTCTTCCAACAATGCAACCAAATATAGCGATTACCGCTCTGAATGTGCCAATCAAATTTAAGTTTCAACATTACATGTTACACATTTGATTTTTTTGCTTAAAAAATTAGAATTAATTTAGTAATTGATCCAAATAATAAATAATAAAAATAAAAATATATATTAATGTATAACTGTTTTAGCAGATTAGTCAGTAATTAATTAAAAAAATATAACTCGTTTTGGAGGAAAATGAAAATAGGTTTTTTTAAATGTATCACCCAATAATATAGATGTTTATGAATAAAGGTAGGCAAATAAATAAAAGAGTGACTTCTTTTGTCTCTTTTACAAACACATTATTTAGGGAGGAGAAATCCATGCACGAAAGCAATGACTTAGAAAAAAGAGAGGTATATATGAAGCAAAGAAAGATAACATTACATGTGTACTCCAACTGAGAAAATCTCACCAGCCTAGCAAATTGTTTGTCATACGGCGGCCGTCCGCTAAGGACCTTGACATTGACTCATCGAAATCGTTGTCATACGGTACAACAATCGACATTTTATAATTTGAATAGAATTTATAAATAAAAACGAGGAGTGAAAATTATAGAAATAAAATAGTATTATATAGAGAATTTACAGGATCAAAATCGAAATGAGATTATAGAATTGAAACCGAATTTAGCTAGAACCAGATAAAAAATTAGAGAATATAGAAATTTGACGTGAATTTTCAACCAAATGGGGATTGGTATTTAATTTTTGTTTTCAGTTTTTATTTTATTTTTTTATTTTAAATTATTGAACTGCCAAGTTTAAACCGTCCAAACATATTATGACCATTGGATCTTAAATATCTAACTGTTGGAGGTTACGTGCTTGAGTTTGAACCCACCCGCCCGAAACCGTCTACAATAAAAAAAATGAGCTGTTGGATCTCGAGCGGTAAAAAAGATCCAACGATCTAGATATGATTTGATGACGTGTTCGGTATCGAGCCCGACCAAGAACCATTTTTTTAAAAAGAAATTTCACAAAAAAAGTAAAATAAAAAATCAAACTTGCCGTAGGGCCGTTCCCGACTGACCCTGAACCGGAAGACAAAATTAATATTTTTGTGAATTTGAACCGGGTAAAACACGAGCCTGTTCAAGGTAAACGCTCAATGGGCCGGTTTCCAGAATTTGCGTCCGGGCCATCTCTCATTGTCAAATGGTCTTTAATTCATGGCTTAGCTTTTATTTATTTGTTTATTTTTTTATGTTACCTTACCTAAATTGGTGTACATAGGCCCATACATTTTTCACTCTCACGAGCCCATATTAGAAGATGCAATTGACCTCTCGCCACCTGAGCTAGGGAAAAAACCTTCTTGCTAAGAGATGCCATCTGATCTTTTTTAGACCGGAGGAGGAGGTAAGACAGGGGCAGTAGTAGTACGCGTGCTAGTAATAATTGTTTTCTCGTTTCGAATGTTGATTGTAGATTTAGTCTAACCCAAATCTTAGTGTTTGAGAGGCAGGAGTTTTCTTGTTGTGTTGGATTCTTATCCTCCGTGGGAGCACGGTCTGGGTTGCTAGGAAAGCTTTTGACAGCCGGTCCCTCTAACGAATTTCCATCTGCATCGGCAAGACGCCTAACCAAGATCTTTCTCTATACCTCGGTCGCGCAATCTGAAACAGAGGGCTTCTTTCCCCCGTCTCTTTTCTTTGTCGGAGTGGTCTTTTTTCTTCAGTTCACCGGAATAAATTCAGCTCCATCTCCATACCTCGGTCGCTATCCCTCCACCGGTAAGTACCTCTGTACCCTCTCCATCCTTCTCCACCTCCCCGAAGTTCAATTGCTCGTTTTCCAGTTTTCTTTCTTTTTTTGCTTCGATTTTATGTGGGTTCATTTTGCTACGGTTTTGAAGTTGAAAATCAATGAATGTTTCGAGGTTCAGTGCAGTGAAAATGGGTGATCTGAATCGGTGGGTTTCGGACAAATTGATGTCCCTTGTGGGATTTTCTCAGCCTACTATGGTTCATTTCATCATAACATTGTGTAAGCTCATATCCGATTATTATATCTTCTTAATGTTCGAAGAAAACATTCTTTAGGACTAGTACAGTTATGATTTCTCTTGTTGTGTAGCATCTGGATAATAAATTCCCCCTTCTTTGAAATTATGCAGCTAAGAGAGCTTCATCCCCCTCAGAGATTGTAAAGCAACTGGCAGAGTTTGGAGTTGCATCGTCTACAGAAACATTAATGTTCGCCAAAGAAATTTTTGCAAGAGTAGAGCATAAGACTTCTGGGCCTAATGTGAGTGATCGAGTCTTCTCTCCAGTTTTTTTTTTTTTTTGGTATTTTTTTTTTTTAACTTTTTAAAATGCTTATATAGTCCTCTTCGTAAATACTTGTTCTCTGCCAGGTGTATCAACAACAAGAAAGGGAGGCTGTGATGCTTGCCCGAAAACAGAAGACCTTCAAGCTTTTGGAGGCAGAGGATGAGGATGATGATGCGGTTCCTGTTGCTTCATTGCCTAGAAAGGAGGAAACTCGAAGCAAGAAGTTCAGGAAAAGAAGTGAAACTCAGGATGAAATGGATGACGAGGTATATTTGCTCATACTCTTGGTCCTAATGATTCGACGTACGTACTTCTATTATTAAGCAAGTTTGTTGATTGAGTCTTACTGTAGATAGTGAAAAATGAAGGAAAAGAAAGACGAGTAAGAAGCCGGACATCACGTGACGACGATGATAGTTCTGAGGTACTAATATCATATTGAGCTGTTTCTAACTTGCTTCTTTCTTGGATTATTTATTATGATACCTATTTATACTATGTGGCGTGGATATAGTTTTGCGTATGATGAAAGGCACGGCTGTAGTTGTGCAAGAGCTCTATAGAATTGTTATTGAAAGGGCTGAGGTTAGATTGCTTCCCCTGCCAACATAGTTGTGCTGGAAATCAACCTGACTAAAAGTGTTTAACCATGTTAGCAAGTTGAAGCAGTCCAATTGTTACATCTTATCTCTGCTTATCTCATTCCCTTTTTGTGTTCTTAATGCATTTTTTATGACATACTTTTATTTTTGGTTGCAGTCTGAGGAAGAAAGGCTGCGTGACCAGAGAGAAAGGGAGGAGCTGGAGCGTAAAATTAGAGAACGTGATGCAGCAGGAACAAGGAAGGTAACTTATTTTTGCGACTTATTTATGTGCCGCTGTTTTTTAAGCAGACAGTTTGCCTCGAGATTGGCTTCTATCAATCCATTTTAGATTCTTAAGACAGTCAAGATATTTGAAATTGGCCTCCTTAAGATAACTATTTTTCAGAGTTTCCTTCAGTGTTATCAATTTTTTGCTGTGGCAATATGGTGTAGTTGATTTATGCCGTAACCGCCGTCAGAAATATGTGAAGGATGGCGGTTATGGTGGCGCCACAGTCCGCCATGGAGTGATTTCAGATTGCCGTCATTTTTCCATTGTCGCCATTGATAACTCTGGTTTCCTTATATATTCGTCCGTGTTTTGTATACTAACATAATTTTCTCTGTGCCCTTGATCTTGATGAGACAATTTCTCTGCCTTTCTGTTCTTAGCCTCTATTGTCCATTGGCTTGTGGTTATACTCGTGGTATAGTAATAGAATTTGTAATTTGAATTCTTAAGCTGTTC